CGGGCGGGCGCCGGGGCGGCCATGGAGGAGGAGCGGGGGTCGGCGCCGGCGGCCGAGTCCGTGCTGGAGAAGAACGTGGCCGAGCTGACCGTCATGGACGTGTACGACATCGCGTCGCTCGTGGGCCACGAGTTCGAGCGGGTCATCGACCAGCACGGCTGTGAGGCCATCGCGCGCCTCATGCCCAAGGTCGTGCGCGTCCTGGAGATCCTGGAGGTGCTGGTCAGCCGCCACCACGTCGCGCCCGAGCTGGACGAGCTGCGCCTGGAGCTGGACCGGCTGCGCGTGGAGCGGATGGACCGCATCGAGAAGGAGCGCAAGCACCAGAAGGTGGGCGCGCGGGGACCCCGGCCTGGCGCTCGGACCTGAGTTCTGAGCGGCTTTAAGAGCTGTGCGGCCTGGGCCACGTTGCCTAACCTGTCTGTGCGCGGGGTCCCCCTCCGTCCGACGTCCATCGCCCAAGACCCACCTGCTAGGAGTCAGACGCGGGGAGGCGCTTAGGCAATATTCTTCAGTCCAGAAATGAAATAGGCCCCCACCCCGCGCCCTCCGAGATGCCCACGGTGGGACGCAGCCGCTGTCAGGACCTGCCCCAGGCTCGGAGTCCCCGGGTTCATCGTTGCCACCTTCTCCCAGGTGGGCCCCGTCTAACCTCCACCCAGGGGGCGTCCCCCGGCCCGGCCTGTGCTTTAATCCGCCCAGAGCTCGGAGAGGGACGATTAGCTTCCTCCGACAGAAGAGGAAACCGCAGGTCCGAGTGTGGGGAGGGATTTGTCCCAAGTCGGTGACGAGTCCCATCCCACTAGGGAGGTGACTGTCCCCCACCGCTTGATCTGGGCAGTAGTTTTGAGGCCGGTGGCTGTGCCAGGAGCAGGCGCCTCTCCGAGTCGGGACGTCCCCGTGGTCTGGGCGTCCCACAAGGTGCCCTGAGGAGGAAGTGTGGTTTCCTGCCCAAACCTCAGCCCTTCCCAGCCAGGATGGGAGGAAACGCCGTTCCTTGGGGGACCAGGGTGCGGGAGCAGGCCCAGGCTTGCTGTGTGACCTCAGGAAATACTCTTGGCCTCTCTGAACCTCCCTGGCCACCATCACGTGTTGTCCCCTCTGAAGGAACCATGCGTTTTCAAGGAAAATGGCCAAATCTCGCCAGACAGTCTTGACCGAAGGGCAACCTGGTTGGTGGGGGTTGAGAGCTTGGGTTGCACGGAGTGCCTAGGCCCGGGGTGGGGAGGAAACTTGAGGTGTAGTTGGGTAGCATTGCCAGGGTGGTGCAGGAAGCCTGGACATTCCTCATTCCCCAGGAGCAGGGACTTTGCAGCCAGACAGCCCGTTTGCAGAGCCCACCCCCGCAGGCTGGACGCAAATCCCCCAGCGGCCCTGTGCCTCAGTTTCCTCAGCCATCGAGGGGGATGACCATGGTCCCTGTGTTGAGGGCTGCGAAGGGCAAGAGGGTCAGAACACCCAAACCCTGGGCAGCACTGTCCAGCAGGGGCCCTGCCGCTTAAGCTGCTGTAGGCCTGGAGAAGCTCCCCAGGGGCTAACAGGGCCAGGGGCTTTGCCCCGTCACACGGCGGAAGTCATGGTGGCAGCTCCGTCCTGGTCACTAGAGGTCGTGGGCCTGCAGGAGGGTGGTGTCAGCAGAGGCACTTGTGGGGCACTTGTTGCTCTGGAAGTGGATACCTCCTCCTCGCTCCCAGGCCAGGGCCTGTTTGTAAACACGGGAGGAGCTCAGGCCAGGGTGGGATCCGGCCTCACCACCAGGCCCCTTCCCTGGTGTCCCCTCTCCCAGTAACCCGGCTCACCACTCACGCGAGGCCACAGGGCTGTCATGTTGTCTGGTTATGCAGTCTGCAACCGTGTTGACAGTCCCCAGCGTGCAAAAGGGCCCTCCTTCGGGGTGTGGGTGATGCAGAAAAGAGCAGAGCTGGTCTTGTGTCAGCTGGCAGGAGGGTGGCCAGGGTGGCAGGAAAAAGACACAGTAGTCTTTAGGAAGAGTGACGGTGTGGCTGTGGTTACATGGAATGTAAACAGCCTGGGGTGTTCATAGAGTCATTCAACAAATGTGTTTCTTGCGCACGTGTTTTTTTTTGTTGTTTTGTTTTGTTTTTTTTGTCTTTTTGAGACAGGGTCTCGCTATGTAGTTCAGGCTGACCTTGAGCTCACTTTATAGCCCAGGCTGGTCTCAAACTTGCAACAATCCGCCTGCCTCAGCCTCCTGAGTGCTGGGATTACAGGCGTGCGCCACCACTCCCAGTCTTTATTTATTTTTTTAATTTTGTTTTCTTATTTTTTGGTACCAGGAATCGAACTCATGACCTCAGGCTTGCCAGGCAAGCGCTTATGCCACTGAGCTACATCCCCAGCCCCTCTTGCGCACTTGTTATATACCCGGCACTGTGCTGGGCTCTAAAGAGACAGGGCCGTTCTGTAGAAGTAGAGTGTGGCTTGCTGAGCTCATAGGAAGAAACAGCGAGATTAATTTTAGTGCATCTTATAGAACCCCGCAGATGAGGATATTTTCACCCCAACATATTCTGTGTAAAGACCGTCAGCGAGGTATTTGGCATTCTTTTTTTCCCCACCATATCTCTGAAATCTGGTGTGTGTTTAACCCCCACTGGATGATTAATCCACACCAACCACTTCTGCTTTCTTGTTTTTTGGAGGCAGGGTGCCACCAAGTAGTTTAGGCTGATTTTGAACTTAAAGCAGTCCTTCTGCCTCAGCCTCCCAAGGGCTGGAGTTACAGGCATGCACCACCAGGCCAAGCAGGAGGTAGATTTTTAGACATCAGTTTATAATTAGTGCTACAAAGGAACTAAAGGGAGGAGATGTGAAACAGCCTGGCTAGCCTGCAGGTGAGATGTGCATGAGGCAGAGGTGCCAACCACAGAGAGATCTGGGGAGAGGGTCCAGGCAGGTGATGGCAGGTGCAAAGGTCCTGGGGTAGGTCAAGTTTAGAAGGTCAGTGGGGCTGGGGCAGTGTGGGAAAGAGGAGTCGGGCAGGGGTGAGGCTGGACATGTTGGGCCTTGTGACTGGAGAAAGTTGGAAAGAAGGCGTAGTTGATGAATCAGCGCTACCTGCTCAGGCTCTCAAGGCAGGATTAAATTCTCCATAGTCAGCTCTGAGGCAGGAACCAAAGAAACCAAACACTAACACAGACATTAGTGCATAGAGAGAACAGGAAAAAAGAACCTAGCTTGGTGTGGTGGTACAGACCTATAATCACAGCTACATGGGAGGCTGAGGCAGGACAATTGCCCTGGGCAATTTACAGAGACCTTGTCTCAAAAATAAAATAGGCTGGGGATGTAGCTCAGTGGTTTCATCCCCAGAAGCACACGTGGGAAAAAACTCCAACCCCTGCGTATTCAAGTCAGTGTCAGGTCCTGCAGCTGCTGTAACACTGTAGTGCTGGCACAGTGGCTCCAAACAGCGGATGTCTGGCCCTGGGGTGAGCATACTGACGTGGGGTAAGGCTGTAGTGGGCGTGTTTGGATAAAGTCTGCAGGTCACACGTTAGAAACAGGTTTTCCTGGGTTAACATCAAGGTGTCAGGGCTGGGGCTGTAGCTCAGCAGTAGGGTGTGTGCCAAACGTGTGCCAGGCACTGCAAAAAAGGAGAGAAATTGGGTGTCAGGAGGCTGAGGCAGGAGAATCGTTGTGAGTTTGAGGCCAGCCTGAGCTCCATAGTGAGTTCAAGGCCAGCCTGAACTGCTTAGTGAGACCCTGTTTCACACTTCCCCCACAAAACCCCAGTGATAATAATTGTCAGGAAGGCTGTGGTCCTTTGGGGCACTCCAGAGGAAGACCTGTTTTTTCTCTCTCCTTTCTTTTTCTCTTTTCTTTTTTTTCTCTCTTTTGCTTTCATGTTTGTTTTTTGAGACAGGGTCTTGCTATGTAGTCCAGGCTGGCCTCGAACTCATGGTGATCCTCCTGCCTCAGCCTCCCAGTTGCAGGGATCACAGGTATGCTCTGTCATGCCGTGCTAGGAAGCCCCTTTCCCTTTTCCAGCCCCCGTGTCCCTGGGCTGTGACCCCTTCCTCTGCCTTCAAAGCCAAGGTGAAGGGTCCTCCAGTCTTCCTGCTTCCGTGGCCAGTGGTCTGTAGCTCTGGCTCCCCTGCCTCCACCATAGGGATCCTGTGATCTCACAGGTCCCAGGGATCCATGTCCCCCATCTCCACACCCTTGACCTAGTCACATCTGTGAAGCCCCTTTGCTCCTCAGATCACCGCGGTCCGGTCCAGGGCCACTGCGCTGACGTTCAGGGGCTGCCTTGCTGAGTGGGCGCGGAGAGGGCCCGCCAGGAGGGCCGGGCTCACTGTCCATCAGCTCATCCCTCCACTTCCTTTCTGGGGATTTTGAGACAAGGTCATGCTGTGTAGTCCAAACTTGCCTTGAACTCATTGTGTATTCCACGCTGGCCTCAAACTCTTGGTGATCCTCCTGCCTCAGCCTCCCAAGTGCTGGTCTCACAGGTGTGCACCACCGCACCCAGACTCATCCCACTGCTTCCGACTCTGATTTTCCTCTTCCCCTCCCCTGGTGGCCTTGAGCCCGCTGCAGGTGTGCTTAGTTTATTCCTCTGGCATTGCCAGTGCCACCGGCTTCCTGGCCGGGGAAGTTGGGGACGTATTTAGAAGATGAATGGAGGAGGAGGTGACGCTGACCATCCGGCCTCCTGGCCTCTGTGACAAATGGTAGGAGGAGCAGAGCCCAGGAGACTCCTCCTCGCCTCTCCCGGTGCCAGGCCTGTGGCCAGCACTTTACGTGGAGCCACCGTTTAACCCTCCGGCCGCCCCCAGGGGAGCACACTGCACTGTGCTCCTCATTCCCGGGGCACCAGAGGTGGGATGACTGTCCCGCCACCAGCTAGGGAGCGGCAGAGATGGAGACAGGATTCACACCCGGGTTGACACGCTGGAGTCCATGCCTTCGACCCCCATGTGTGTCAGGCAGCAGCGGTTCTATCTCCTGAACAGTTTCCACTCTTACAAATATACCTTAGCCGGATGTGGTGGCGCATGCCTGTGATCCTAGCGCTTGGGAGGCTGAGGCAGGAGGATCTTGGAGAGCTCTAGGCCGGCCTGGGCCACTGCTCCTGGTTTTGGACCAGTTTCACTCGCCCTCACGTCCACTGTGTGAGCCTGAAAGTGGTCCCCAGCTGAGCCCCGAGTGCTTGACCAAAGGACAGTGGCGCTGTCACCTGGGCATCCCGGCCCGTCTGTACCCTCTTTGTCCCATGGAAATGGTTTGTCAAGTGTCTGCGGGGAGATCAGGCTTCAGAACCCCAAGAGGTATTGGGAGTCCGGGCTGCTCCTCCACCACACAGCTCACAAGTACGGAGCCCATTTGAAACCGTCTCAGGGTAGATGCAGGGGGCAGCCCACAGAGGCCCCAGCTGCTCCCGCTGGCCATGTGGGTGAGGCCACTCCCTGGGCAGGCTGGAACCGAGTGTCCGCCCTGCAGGAGCTGGAGCTGGTGGAGGATGTGTGGCGCGGGGAGGCGCAGGACCTCCTGTCCCAGATCGCACAGCTGCAGGAGGAGAACAAGCAGCTGATGACCAACCTCTCCCACAAGGACGTCGGCTTCTCGGAGGAGGAGTTCCAGAGGCACGAAGGTAGGGGACGCTGCGTCCTGTGAGCACCTTGATCACACCGTGCCTGCACTTGCATTTCCCAGCTCCTGTTGTTCCTTTTGTTTATTTTATTTTATTTTTTGTCTTTTTGAGACAGGGTCTCGCTATGCACTTCAGGCTGGCTTTGAACTCACTTTGTAGCCCAGGCTGGTCTCGAACTCACAACGATCTTCCTGCCTCAGCTTCCCAAGTGCTGGGATTACAGGCGTGCGCCACCACACCCAGCTGTTCCTTTTGTTTATATCCTCATCTGGCAGGGAGAAATTGTCCTGCCTCAGGTTACAGATGATGGTACAGAAATCTATTCCACATGCTGTTATGGGGCCCCCAATGTCAGACACTTCCCCCGGCCCTGGGACACAGACCCTGCCTTCCCCACCGCATTCTAGTGTGGAGCAAAGGCGATGTGTATTTGAACAGACAAATAGTCAGGTTCTGCATATTCGAAGAACTGAAGCAGGGGCATCTGAGAGCAACCTGGGGCTTCTTTAGGGACAGTCGTGGAGGAAGTCACAGCAGGGCCCTAAAAATGTGATAGAGTGAGCCGTGCAAGTGGCTTTGGCCAGGGGAAGTGCAAAGGCCCTGGGGCACAAGGAGCACTGAGGGAAACCAAGACAGCCAGAGGGTGGCTGAGGTCGGGGATTGAATTTTATTCTAGTGTGCTAGGAAGACAAAGCCTTCTTTTTGTTGTTGTTTTGTTCTTGGTATTGGGAATTCAACCTGGGGCCTCCACACCGAGCTACACCTCCAGCTCTTTTATATTTATTTTGAAACAGGGTCTGTCTTGCTAAGTCACTGAACTGCCCTAGGCTGGACTCGATCTTGAGATCCTCCGGGCCGGGCCTCTGCTGACGGCTGGTGATAAGAAGACTCAGTGGCGTTTGGTTCCCTGGGTCCTGCCAGCTGCCTCCGAACCAGAGCCCCCCTGTGGTCCCGCAGCCCGAGGAATGTCAGGGTCACCTCTGTAGCCCATGCAAACTTCCTGGGTCCCCACGTGAGCCCCTGCTTGTTGGTAGAATGGAGAAGGATTTGTAGGGTCCTGAACTCAAGATCTGGCACTGTCACCTCTGTGAGGGCTACGGGAACCAAGGAAAAGGGCAAAGCTACGTCCAGGTCTGGAATTCTTTTTTTTTCCTTTTGTCTCTTTTGTAGAAATGTGACTAGTGCAATGGAATCAAAAGGGTTTTTTGTTTTCTTTTGAGACAGGGTCTCACTCTCACTATGTATATAGTTCAGGCTGGCCCTGAGCTCAGTGTGGAGCCCAGGCCGGCCTGGAACCCTCGGGATCCTCCTGCTTCAGCCTCCTGAATGCTGCACACCACCACACTCAGCCTATTATCCCCATTTTTTTTTTTTTTTTTTTTTTGTGACAGGGTATCGCTATGCAGTTCAGGCTGCCCTTGAGCTCACTTTGTAGTCCAGGCTGGTCTCGAACTCACAATGATCCCTCAGCCTCCCGAGTACTGGGATTACACTGGGATTACAGGCGTGCGCCACCACACCCGGCTATTATCCCCTTAATGATGTTAATCTCGTATGCGAATGTGGCCATTTAGCAAAATTAAGAAATCAGAATGGGTAAATAGTTACTAAATTCTCTTCAGATGCTGGGCCTATTGGCCGAGGCAGGTGGACCACTGTGAGTTTAAGGCCAGCGTGGGCTACATAGTGAGTTTCAATCAGTCTGAACTACTTAGGAGCACCCTGTCTCAAAAAACAGTGTTTGGATGTGACTGGTTTAGATCAATCTCCTTCTGCTATTCCTGGATCCGATCTAGGGGGTCACACTGGATTTTTGCGATTTCTCTGTTCCTGATGTCATGCAGAATTTGCGTATTGGTGTGGACTTGCTGCTGCCTGTTGGGGAGCAGGCAGGGCCTGCCTGGGGTTGAAAGTTCTGCCCCCTGGATGCCAGCTTGGGGCGGCTCCGCCCTTGCCCGCAGGCAGCTCTGTGCCCTGGGGGCTTGGGCATCAGGGTCTGATGAGCTGCGTGGTCGACCTCCCTCGCCTGGGGAAAATTTGCTCTTATTTGTTTAGCAGCAGCTTTCTTGAGACACCTTGCCCAAGTCACAGGATTCACGGCTCGTAGGGGACGGTTCAGCCGTCTTCAGCGTAGTCACACAGCTGTGCGGCCAGAGCACAATCGTAGAACTCTTCATCGCTTTTTCAGCTGGGGGTGCAGCGCAGTGGCCAGCGCTGGCCAGGTGCGCACAAGGCAGTGACCAGCTGCGTCCCACCTGGCCCCTCCATGCACAACCTCTAGCCCGCCTTTTCTCTGGACGTGCCTGTCCTGGACAGTTCGTAGCAGTGGAATCAGATACCATGTGGTTTTTTGTGTTTGTCTAGCTGCTGTCTGCCGAGGAGAGGATGCTGGGAATTGAACCTAAGGCCTTCATATGGAACTACACTCCCAGCCTTTCTTTCTTTCTTTTTTTTTCGTTTTCAGAAAGGGTCTCCCTAAGTCTCCCTAAAGAAACACATGGCACGAAAGTGAACTTCATTAAAGACCCCTTTGCCGTCTGCTTGGTTTTTGTTTTTTTGACGGGGCTCACCATGTAGTATAGGCTGGCTTTGAACTTGTGGAGATCCTCCTGTCTGGCTGTGTCACTATCTTTTTGTCTGTGACATTTCTGCAGGGCACATGCAGGTGACTTGGGGACTCTTCTGCCGGCCCAGTGAAGCCCCAGAGGCCCGGGGAGCCGCTGGCCGGGCAGGTCCTGGCTCCTATGTGCAGCGCATAGCCTCCCCCATGGGTGCTGGGAGCTTGCTCTGCCCCCATAGCATCCTGGTCCCCGCCGAGGTTGTCACACCACAGCCCATGCGGTGCGTGAGATCCAAGCTGCACTTAGCGGCAGCGTGTGGGACCATTGCTGCAGGGTGAGGTCTGAGGCCACCCACCGCCCATGTAGAGTGGGCAGCCGCCAGGCGCCTTCCTGGCTATGTCTGTGTTCATACAAACCTGGCAGGGACAAAGCGCAACACACGCCGGGCAGGTGAGGTCCTGGGAGGGGAAGTTGGGACCAGGTGAACAAGCACATGCCTGATAAAAGACCCAGTAGCGCAGCTGTCTGGTCTGTGCAGGTGGTGAGTTGGGGTGAGGGGTGTACCCAGAAGAGCCAGCCCTCGGCATGGGCCCTGTTGTGCGGTGCTGGGGATCAAACCTAGGAGCACCTCACCACCACTCTACCCCCAGCCCCTTAAAAATAATTTTATTTTGAGGCGGCATCTTGCAGGTTGCCCAGGCTGACCTTAAACCTTCGATCCTCCTGCCTCAGCCTCCCAGAGTGCTGGAATTACACGTGTGCCCAGCCAAGCATCCAGATTCAAACACACTTCCCTGGCCCCTGGTTTGGAACCCGTCTTGCCAGCTGGAGGGCAACAGAGGGAAACCACAGGTTAGCCCACGGGGCAGTGAATTGCAGGTATCCGTACCCTGGCTTGGGTGGGGCAAGGAGCCACTCAGGTTGGAGAAGGCCTCGCCGCAGGGAAGCAACTTAGCGACAAGGCTCAGAGGAGGTGGCCGCACGGGCACGTTCAGGGAAGCAGCGGCTTTGGTAAGAAGGGAGCGGGCGGCTTGAGTCTGTGTGTCTGTGCGTCTGTGCGTCTGTGCAGCCCCACAGAGCCAAAACTCTACCTTTTCAGCTGGAATCAATAAAACATGTTAGCAGGGTATTTTGCGTACCTTTTTTCATGTTAAGTCTCTGCAACCTGGTAGGCGGTGTGTGGGTGTAAATGTAGTGAGAATACGCGTAACATAAAATGCACCGTCTTGATTTTTTTTTTTTTTGTACTGAAGATTGAATCCAGGGCTTTTTTTTTTTTTTTTTGGTTTTTCTCTGGTACCGGGAATCGAACTCACGACCTTGCGCTTGCCAGGCAGGCACTGTGCCGCTGAGCTAAATCCCCAGCCCCAAACCCAGGGCTTTTACACCAGGCCATGTCACATGTGGTGATGGCCACATCACGAGCTTGGATCTCACTCATCACATGGGCTGTGGTGTGACAACCTCGGCGGGGACCAGGATGCTATGGGGGCAGAGCAAGCTCCCAGCACCCACGGGGGAGGCTATGCGCTGCACATAGGAGCCAGGACCTGCCCGGCCAGCGGCTCCCCGGGCATCTGGGGCTTCACTGGGCCGGCAGAAGAGTCCCCAGGTCACCTGCATGTGCCCTGCAGAGCCTTTTTTAGTTTTTATTTTGAGACAAGGTCTTTTTGAGTCGCGCAGTCTGGGCTCACACTTGGAATCCTTCTGCCTCAGCCTCTCATGCCCAAGGCTGGGAATACAGCTCAGGGGCATAAGTGCTTGCCTGGCAAGCCTGAGGTCATGAGTTCGATTCCCAGTACCAAAAAAAAAAAAAAAGACACCATGCCCAGCTTAGTTTAGTCATTTTGATGCACTACTTAGTAGCAATAAATACATTTACATTGTAGTTGTGGGGAGTTCCCGTTTTTTGGGGGGTGGGGAGCAGTACTAGGGGTGGAGCCCCTAGCATTGAGCTCCGTCTCCAGCCCTCTTTTTATTTTGAGAAGGATCTCACTAAGTTGCCCAGGCTGGCTTGGAACTTTTGATGCTCCTGCCTCAGCCTCCTGAGTAGCTGGCATTATGGGCTTAAGCCAGTGTGAACAGTGGGAGCTGAGCTTTCTCCGGTAGAGCCCCAGCCAGACGTGCCTGCTGAGGAGCAAAGGGACGCGGGGTGTAACCAGAGGCCCCCAGGACCTGCATACTGTGCGGTCTACTGCAAGCACTCAGCTCAACAGCAGGGGGGGCGGGTACTGGAGGGAGGGTCGTTGTCACTATCTTGTCACCAGTGCCACCATCATTGTCATCATCATCTGTATTATCATTATTGTTATTATTTGGTATAGAGGATTGAACCCAGGGCCCTGGCACTTAGCTACACCCCCAGCTCTGCCTTCCTTTCTTTCTTGCTTGCTTTCTGAGATAGTGTCTTGACAAGTTGCTAAGTTGCCCAGGCTGGGCTCAAACCTGTGACTCTCCTGCCTCAGCCTCCCCTGTGCTGGGATGATAGGTGTGTACCACCATGCCTGGTATGGGCTCACTTCATGAGCACAGTGGTGTCAGGAAGGTGGAGTATGGAGGGGACATAAATAAACCCATTTTGCAGACCACCAAATAGAGACTCACATGAAAACTACAGCTGTGTACATAGTGGCTGCCTGCACCTGTCCCCTGGTGGGGAGGTGGCCTGGTGTCATAGCCAAGAAGACCTGGGTTTCAGTCCCAGCACTGGGACATTGAACAGTCTGTCTCTGGGCCTCAGTTTTCTGTATCTGTAAAGTAGGCCTGGTGTTAAAGCAATAGCAGGGGGGGAAAAGGCCTAGTGTGGTGGCACATGCCTATATTCCCAATACTGAGGCGGAGAATTCCTCAAATTTCAGATCAACCTGGTCTACATAATGAGTCCAAGGCCAGCTTGAACTACATAGCAAGACCATGTCTCAAAAAAACAAAACAAGGGGCTGGGGATTTAGCTCAGCGGTACAGCACCTGCCTGGCCAGTGCAAGGTGGTGAGTTCGATTCCTGATACTGGAAAAAAAAACAAAAAACAAAACAAAACAAAACACTCTAAATAAATGAAAGCAACGGCAGAGACAGTAACACCCACTTCCAGGGCTGGCAGGGGAAGACAGCCGGCCTATCCAGGGACCCTCCCTGGGGACTGTAGGGGAGGGCCAGTCCCTGTCCCCTCTTCCAGCCCTGGAATGCAGGGATGCCTGAGCTGGGCCAGCTGTGCTCCAGAGCTGTCACTGTGGCATCCCAAGCACTGCATACTTTGCAGACATGCAGGCTGCTGGCAGGGGCTGGGGATGTGCAGGGGTAGGGGACAGATCAGGGTAGGCTGGAGCCACTCAGGGAGGGCATCACCCCAGTTCTCTTCCTGGGGGTGTGGCAGCAGGGCCATGTGTCCTCTGCGTCCTGGGAGCTGAGGCGGATGAATGTCCCTCATCCCTGTGGTGGAGACTGGGCTGGGCTGAGCTGAATGACCTGCCATGCCAAGGCCCCATCTCTGGAGCCTATGGCGTCACCGGAGTGCCACATCTGCAGAGGTGATGGTGAGAGAGGGCCTCTGCCCTGGGTCACGCCTGGGGCCCTAGAGGTGTCACGTGTGTGCTTATGATACGGAGGCAGAGAGTGACACAGAGGAGGGGAGAGCTCATGTGACCAGTGACAAGGGACCATAGAAGAGAGGCACAGTTGTTCTGAGCTCTGATGGGGGTGAGCCCTGGTGACGTCAGGCTGACTTTGAACTTTTGGCTTCTGGAATGATAGAAAGTTAAGTTTCTGATGGTTTAAGCTACAAATTTTTTTTTTGTTTGTTTGTTTTTTTTTTGTTTTTCTCCGGTACCGGGAACCGAACTCAGGACCTTGCGCTTGCCAGGCAGGCGCTTTGCCGCTGAGCTAAATCCCCAGCCCCAAGCTACAAATTTTTTGTTTGTTCTCTAGGTTGGTTTTGAACAGGGTTTCGTTCTGTAGTCCAGGCTAGCTTTAAACTCACAGTGATCCTCCTGCCTCAGCCTCCCAAGTGTTGGGATTACAACCGTGCGCCGCCACACCTGGCATAAAGCTACCAGATTTGTTGACCATTTGTACTGTGGGCACCGGAAGGTCACACGGCGCCAGTCACTCACCGGCTCCCCTAAGGGGCACCTGCTGTACATAGTGCTGGGTGAGGCTCAGCGAGGTGACAGGAACTCTGGGCCTCGCCTCTGCCCCTGAGGCCTCCCCCAGGCGTGCATAGGGTGCAGGTGGCCCAGCAGGAACAAGCAGCACCTGGACAGCAGCCCTGCCCCTCTGGGTGCAGGGTGGGGTGCAGTGATTCTCCGGCAGCCGCTAGCGCCCTGGGCAGGCACAGGCAGCCACGGAGGCGAGGCAGCCCGGGCCACCTGCCAGAGGAGGCTCCGGCCGGGCGCTGGGCTGTGTCGCCACCTGCTAAGGATGGAATGCTTGAGATTCCTGGTTGCTGTGACGAGTGGCACGAAGGTGACGAGGGCAGGATGATGAGATGCTAACGGGGTGGCAGGGACACGACACGGGAGGGGCAGAAGGGACAGTGAGTGAGCCCCGCGGGCGGCGGGTGGGTCCGGGGGCCTCGGCAGAGGAAACCTCAGGGCCGGAGGAGGGGGCGGGGACGCATGGGCGTGGCTCGCCGAGGCCCCGCCCAGGCCCGCGGTGGGCGTGGCTCACCCCGCCCCGCCCCCAGGCATGTCGGAGCGGGAGCGGCAGGTGATGAAGAGGCTGAAGGAGGTGGTGGACAAGCAGCGAGACGAGATCCGCGCCAAGGACCGCGAGCTCGGCCTGAAGAGCGAGGACGTGGAGGCTGTAAGTGTCGCACCCTAAGGCTCCGTTCCTTGGGCTGGGGACAGGACGTCCCGCCCCCGGCTGGGTGGCCCAGACGACGCAGCGGGTCTCCTGGCGGAGCCGGAGAGGTAGCAGCCCCGCCCGTGACCGGTCCCGAGGCCGCCCCCAAACCCAGCAGCGCCTCCCCGCTGCCACTGTCAAAACCTGTGGCTTCTGTCTGTTGGAAAATTGTCCTGTCGTAACGTATGAATTCTAAGGAGACGCTGAGCTTCCACCTGCCCTAAAATCACCACAGCGTATGCTGTATACAAGTCGCCCCTCTTGCGTGTCAGCCCGGTCACAGGATGTAGACATACCACCAATAAAAATGTTCACAGCGCGCGTCGCACAGCTGGAGATGGTTTGCTTTTGTGCAGTGCACAACCTGAGCTGCTCTGTGGCAGCCCTGTGCAGTGGCTTCTGTGTCTTTGCAGCTGCAGCAGCAGCAGACCCGGCTAATGAAGATCAACCATGACCTTCGGCATCGGGTCACTGTGGTGGAGGCGCAGGGAAAGGCCCTGATTGAGCAGAAGGTGGAGCTGGAGGCAGATCTGCAGACCAAAGAGCAGGAGATGGGCACCCTGCGGGCGGAACTCGGCAAGCTTCAGGAGAGGCTGCAGGGCGAGCTCAGCCAGAACGGGCAGGAGGAGCCCGAGGTGAGCAGGAGTGGTGCCCAGCTGTGGGAGGGGTGCACTGCCTCGATTTCCCCATCCTGCTTAAGAGGCTGGGAGGGGTGGAGCCAGCTGCCGGCTGAGGACACATGGCTGGGCAGGGAGAGCCAGGCTGCAGCCCAGGACCCCCAGCTTCTGGTGGGAGGTGATCAGCACAGTGATGGTTCCCAGGTACCTGACACCCCTTCACCCATCCATGCATTCATCGATGCATTCGTCCATCTGTCCACCCATTCGGATGGGCGCCAGCCGTGCAGCAGGCTTGGGACGGTGAGCAAAGCACCGAGCTGCCCCGTGCACACAGAGCCCCCAGCTGCGCATGGAGGCGGGCTCAGGGGTCGCACAGGACCCAGAGGTGTCAGGACAGCACACACGGCAGGGGTTGTGCAGAGGGATAAACCAAGGTGTAGTGGAGCACAACTCCACCCTCAAGGGGGATGTGGGAGCCTGGCCTAGAGGTGCACACCTGTCATCCCGGCGCTCTGGAGACTGAGGCGGGAGGATTGCTCTGAGCTCAAGTCCAGCGTGGGCAACTTAGTGACTTAGCAAGACCCTATCTCAAAAAGTGGCTGTGGATGTAGCACATAGCAGAGTGATGGAAATGTTCTGGAATGAGATAGTGGTGCTGGTGTACAGCTCGGTGTTCTGGAAACCCTGAGCTTTATACAGATGTCACAGTGTGTGAAAGACACCTGGGTCTGTGAAGAACCCGGCTCCTGCCTGAAGGAGGAGCACAGAGCCAGCTCTGGTGTCGCCAACGGCCTGAACATGGCAGCCAGGTGGCCTGGTTTAAGTCTAGGTCCTGCGCTTCCTTCCTCAGTGGCTATGTTATTAGCTTGTCTCTGCCTCAGTTTTCTCCCATAATAATAGGAATAAGGGCTGGATCTGATGGTGCCCATGTGTAGTCCCAGCTGTTCGGGAGGCTGAGGCAGAAGGATCAGGAGTTCTGCATAGTGAGTTCAAGGCCAGCCTGAACTGCATAGCGAGACCCTGTCTTAGAAAAACAGAGAAAAAAACTAAAAGCTGGATGTGGAGCTGCTCGCCTGTAATCCCAGCACTTTGGGAGGCTGAGGCAGGAAGATTTCAGAGTTTGAGGCCAGTGCGAAGAATTCAGTGACTTAGCAAGACCCTGTCTTAAAATAAAAAGGACTGAGGCTAAATGTAGCTCAATGGGAAGGCCCTGGGTTCAGTCCCTCATAGCCAAACAACAGATCCAGAATAATAAATGTTTTCCCCCAAACTGTTACAGCAGTTAGATAGCTTGGTTCCTGTGGAGTCGCTGTTCACTGTTACATCACCATTACAGTCTGGGGGTCAGAACAGCTCCAGGAGGTGCCCGAGGGAGAGAGTGAACTGGGGGGCTGAGCCCTGGGCCACGGGCATGCAAAGGCCCTGTGGCAGAAGCTGCAGTGTGGTGCAGGAAGTGTGAGGGATGTGCATGGCTGGTGTGCAGAGTGGGGAGTGGAGGTCCAGACGAGGTCAGAGCGGTGATCAGAGAAGAGAGGAGTCCTGGCTTTCACCTGAGGCCCTTGCTGGGTGCTATGGGTCTGGTGTGGGAGCTCCATGTGGCAGCATCCCAGCCCCCACCCCCACCAGACCTGTCTCTTTGTCTCTCTGCCTTTGTGGTGCTGGGAGCCAGGGCCTCAGACGGGGCACCCCGTGGAGCTGCCTGACACTCTAGAGGTGCACTGTGCGGGGACCTCCTGACCCACATCCCCTGCTCTCCACTGTGAGGGTGTCCTTCTCTAGCAGGCTCTTGTCACAGTGTGTCCCTTGGTGCTCAACCAGCTCATCAACCCCAGTGGGAAGAAATTGACTGGACCCTAGAAGAAAGTGGGGGACAGTTTTTTACGCTGAGACAAGAGTCTCTCTGAATTGCCCATGCTGTCCTTGAACCTGCGATCCTCCTGCCTAAGCCTCCCAAGAGGACTGCGGTAACAAGTGTGCGCCACCGTGCCTGGCTTTCATCGTGTTTTTATTTTTTATTTATTTATTTTTGAGACAGGGTCTCCCTATGCAGTTCAGGCTGGCCTTGAGCTCACTTTGTAGCCCAGGCTGGCCTCAAACTCACAATGAACCTCCTGCCTCAGCTTCTCAAGTGCCAGGATTACAGGCATGCACCACCACGACCAGCTCTTCATCATGTTTTTAAAGTGAGGGCTGGTGGCTGGCATGTGGAGCCAGGTTTGTGAGCATCCTGAGCTTGTGCCTGTTGGCCCCAGAGTCCCCAAGTGTAACCACAACACAGTTGTCCCTCTGCAGTGCCAGGGGCCGTGTCAGAGGCTGCTCACGGGCACTCTGATAAGCCCGGCAGCAGGAGCAGCCTCTTTGATACCTGGTCTCCCGGGCCTGCCTGTCAAGCAGCCAGGCTGTAGACTCTCCCTTGAGCTGTGCCCAGGCAGCCCCCGGGGACCAGTGAGCAGGCGATCACCCAAGCTACCTGGCGTCCCTCATGGAATAAGCCTAGAAGGCTTCGATCGCCTGATGCTGTCCTGGACTCTGGCTGCCATGGTGCCTGGCGTTCATGGGCGGTTGGGCCCAAAGGCAGGAAGCCACACACCTGATGGGCCTCCCCCAAGGGGATCAGGCCCAGAAAAGAGCTGGCCTTTGGCAGAGAAAAGAGCTCAGGGCCAAGGAAGCCCCTCTGGGGCACTGACATGGACAGCCCACCATGGGGCCAGAGCCACAGCAGCCCTGGGTGTGTCCAGAGGACCCTGATGTGGGGGGGTATGGGTGCTTAGGGACAACACTGTGTCACTGAGACCTGGAGGGGACGTGAAGGCCCGGGAGAAGCCCTGCCCAGAGCCTCCTAGGGCCTGCCTGTCCCCACTGCAAGCAGACCCCTGGCGGATGGCCCCTTGGGGACACGAGAGCCAGGTCTCCAGGAGTGGCAGGACCAGGGCCATCTGCCCGCCATGGGGAGGCAGAGTGTGACCTGAGGCTTGGGGCCACAGCAGAGGCCAGACAGCGAGGGAAAGGGGCAGGGAGGGAGCTCGTCGGCCCGGGGAGCATGGGCCAGGGCAGCCCAGGCTTCAGTAAGTTTCTAAAGTGAGGACCCAGACGGAGACTTTGGTACGAAATCGCCTGATCTTAAACATGCAGCAGCTCAGTAGATGAGGTTAGATTTTCACTGCGAATTAAACCGAAGACCTTCACGCTTTCGACACGCTCAGCACCCATTTTGCATTTTGGGGCAGGGTCTGGCTATGCCAGTAGGCTGGCCCTAAACTCACTGTGTTTGGAACCCAGGCTGGCCCTGAACTTCCAACAATCCTGCCTCAGCCTCCTGAGTGCTGTGATTACAGGCGCCTTTTTAAACTTTTTTTTAAATTTTTTGAGACAAGGTGACGCTAAGTTACTATGTTGCCTGAGCTGGGCTTGAATTTATGCCCCTCCTGCCTCAGCCTCCCAGAATGCTGGGATTGGAGGTGTGGACCACCATGACTGGCCAGTAGATTTAGAACACAGTGAGGACCCAACCAAATGCGAGACACAGGTGTGACCTGAGGGCCCCCATTTTGCCTCTGGTGCTGTTTTTGGCAAACTCCTGCACAGCATCAGGCCCCCACAGTGAGATCATCCTGATTCTGCTTCTGCACTTCCCAAGCTGCTATTCAGGTGCATCCTCTCCTCACTCCAGCATCCGAATCTCCTCCCAGCACTGAGCTCCGCCACGGGGAGCCGCAGAGTCAGTGCCTTGTAAGCATCAGGGAAAGGTAGATACCCGCAGGAGTGCTCCGCAGGCCCCCAGCCGAGGAAGAGCCCGGAACCGCATTCTTGGCGCCTGCTGTGTGCCTGAGGTGCAGACCAGGGCTGAGTCTGCGGCTGGGGTGGCGTGGGAGCGGCCCGGAGGTGTGGAGTGGGGACTGAAGACAGGACTGTCATCCTGATAGCGTCGCGGCTCCTCCTCCACCGCGGCCGTGGCTCTTCTGTCACCTGATTTGCCTGTGGGTGGTGTCTGCTTTCAAGTGTCCCTTCCCAGAACGGCCTGTCCCAGACTCCAGGAGAAGCGTCTTGGCTCTGCCTGCTGGAGCATGGGTGTCTTGGCCTTGTGCCAGCGTCCGGCCGGAGTTCCAGGTCCCTGTGCCACTGTGGGCTGTTTGGGGCCTAGGCAGGGTATCTGTTTCTGCCCACTCCCCTGTCCCACAGCTTTCCTGCTGCCGTCCCAGCCTCTGCCCGCTCCTTCTAGGTGACCGTGGCACAGGGTCACAGGGTACACGTGACACTGTACTGCCTTGACTGCATGGCCCCTGCAGATTTGGCAGGGTGACTTAGGGACAGTTTGCAGATCCGTTGCTATCAAAGAAAATAGCAACTGGGCCAGGTGTGGTGGCACTGCACAGCTGTAATCGTTGCTGTCTGAGAGGCTGAGGCAGGGGGATTGCAAATTCAAGCCCAGCCTGGGCAACTTAGCTACTTTGTAGGATCCTGTCTCAAATTTTTGAAAGTTTAAATTTAAAAAGAGCTGGGGATATAGCTCAGTTCAGAGGCTCTGGGTTCAATCCCTAGTACCACATACAGACACAAGAGGAAATGGGGTGGGGGTGTAGCTCAGGGGAGAGCTTGTGCTTAGCATGCATGATGACCTGGGGGCAATGGAATTCCAGGAACTGGGACCCTGGGGCACTGCTGGCGTAGACAAAAAATCCTACAGCCACTGCAGGAAAACAGACATGGTAAAGTGAACTCAGAGTCACTGCCCACTGTGGTGGCCACACCTAGCATTGGGGAGGCTGAGGCAGGAGGATCACTGTGAGTTCAAGGTCAGCCTGAGGTAATAGTGAGTTCAGACCAGCCTGAACTATATATACCAACGTATTGTTGGGCATCGTGGCACACGCCTGTAATCCCAGCACTCGGGAGGCCGAGGCAGGAGGATCCTTGCGAGTTTGAGACCAGCCTGGGCTACAAAGTGAGCTCAAGGCCAGCCTGAACTACATAGCGAGACCCTGTCTCAAAAAGACAAAAAACAAAACAAAAATAAACCAGAGTTAGAGTCCCCATGAGACCCAGCCGCTCTGCCTTGGGTGTACATCAACAGAATGGGAAACTTGTGTTCAAACAGACACATGCAAAGGAAGGTTCTTAGCATCGCTCTTCACAGTGGCCAAAAGGTGGCCACAACCCAGGCGACCCCCCATGGAGCAGCTACTACCCTGCCGTGGGAAGGGAAGTTGTACCAGGTGCGGCAGTGCACACCTGTCAGTCACCACTCGGGAAGCTGAGACAGGAGGATTTTTATTTTATTTTTATTTTGCTGTGTAGCTGGGCTCCATAGCAAAAGCCTGTCCAAAAAAAAAAAAAAGAGGATAGTTTCCCGCAACACGGATGAGCTAGGAAACCTGACGCCAAATGACAGGACACAAAGGCCACGAAGTGCATGATGCTGTTGTTGGGAAATGTCCAGGGTAGGCAGAGCCACAGAGGCGGAAAGCGGGTGGTGCCGGGCCCAGGGGGACAGCGGGTGACCGCTTGGTGAGCGCTGCGTGTCCTTGTGTGGTGAGAATGTTCTGGATTAGATGAGGCGCTGCACCACCTGACGAACCTACTCTGTGCCCGAGCTGGGCACGTTGAAGGGGACGGCAGAGCAGGCAGCATTCTGTGAGCCCCACACTTCAAGGAGCAAGGCTTCCGAGTCTGGAAGGTCTGGGGGCCCATCCCGGGCAAGTGACTCAGCTGAAGCTGGGACCCATCGGTGACATTTGTGTTGATGAAATATTTCTTTTTTTTCTTTTGGTTTTTGAGATAGGGTCCCCCTATGCAGCTCAGGCTGACCTCAAACTTGTGGAAATCCTCCTGCCTCAGCCTCTGGAGGCTGAGTCACCGTGACAGGCATGTGTCACCATGCTTGGCTGCACTGATAAAAAATTTCTAAGTTTGACCCCTTCCAGAGCTTCCACCAAACTCCAAGGCAAGATGCCGAGAGCCTCTGGGGAGGAAAGGCTTGGCCACAGGGCCCAGTGCGGTTGTAAATATGCGGGGTTTCATGAAGTGACGGGGAGGGGCGGAGAACTGAGCTCGGGCTGCGGTTCCAGTCACTGCTGGATTCGCGCTGCTCTTAGTGACACTATGGGAGAGAACCCCGAGAAGGATGCCTGGGCAGGTGGATGACGGGGGTGCCGTGGAGGCGTGGCGTTTTTCCTCTTGGGGCGCATCCAAACAGCTTTGTAACAGAAGCCTGGGACCTGGGGGAGGCGTGGGGATGCAGGGCTGGCTGCAGAAGGGGGCAGTGAACAGGTGGCCGCCACCTCCTATCTCCGGAGGGAACTGTGCAGAGCTCCGGCAAAGTCCGCCCCCAGGGCTGAAAATAGCACCCCAGGCAAGCTGCTCTCGGGGAGGTGGGATGGGCCGCAGTGTGGGTGCCGCGGGCGCAGGTCGGGCCACCAGCAATTCATCAGGGGCATCTCTGCCTCCTGCAGACAGAGCCGGGCACAGAGGAACGCGTGTCAGACGATGCAGAGAAGGCTGCTGTGGACCCCAAGGACCCCAGCCGCCCCCGGTTCACGCTGCAAGAGCTGCGGGATGTGCTGCATGAGAGGAACGAGCTCAAGGCCAAGGTGTTCCTGCTGCAGGAGGAGCTGGCCTACTACAAGAGGTGCGCGGCCCCTGCCGCCCGGGGCAAGCCAGTTCTCCGTGTCCGCTCGGGTGCTGAGCCACACGCACAAGCTCACCCTCCCTTTCTGAAACGCAGGGCTACAGCATTTTCTTTATTGAGAGCGTGGCCCCTAGCCTTGAACTCAGAGTTCACCTTGCACAGTTCTCCTTAGCGCACGGAAGGTGCACAGCTGTCCGTGGAGGGGAGAGCCAGGAGGAGGGACAGGAGTGCTGGAGGTGGTCACTGCTTCAGCGGGGAAGTCTGGTGCAGAGAAAATAATCACGTATCACCCGGAGAGGGCCGAGGCAGAAACGTGCACGGGCGGCGGTGCTGGGTCGCGGCCTTGTGTGCAGGCCAGATAAAGACACGAGGCATGGGCAGCTTGCTTTCGGAGGAAGAAGCCCAACGGTGCAGACAGGCACTCCGCAAGGACAGGAGGTGGGAAGTACTGTGGGACGAGCATGCCTTGAAGGCGCGGCCTAGCCTGGCTCACAGTTCCAGAGGCCCCAGTCCCTGGTCCCAGGCTCCCAGACGGAGCAGCGTGGCCAAAGGGTTGGTGGAGCAAAGCCGCTCACTAAATGGTGTCCAGGAAGCTGAGTAGGGAGCAGTGCCAGAAAGGGACCAGATAGATCCCCAGGTCACGCCCCCACAACCACGCAGACACACCCAGGAGGCCCCACCCAGTGCTCTCAGTGGACAAGCAAGGTCACTCAGTCTCAGAGTGATTCCATCTGGCTGGAGGCAGAGTTAACTGGAAGTAGACTTGAGAGCCTGGCACGGTGGCGCACACCTGTAATCCCTGTACTCAGGAGGGCAGAGGGATCACCTCAAGTTTGAGGCCAGCCTGGCTATGTAGTGAGTTGAAGGCCAGCCCCTCATGCAGATGATGTCAGGGCAGAGGCCACTGTTACCACCTTCCTGGGCCTCCTAATCTCACCCACCCTCTCGACCCTCAGACAGCACGCTTCTGGAGTATTCCAGTTCTCATAGATTTTTCTTTGGTACTGGGAATTGAACTCAGGGCCTTGCCTTGCCAGGCAGGTGCTGTGTTGCTGAGCTGTATCCCCGGCCCCACAGATTTTTTCTTTTGACTCATTTTATCTCTTACTTTTCAACTCTTTCCAGTGAAGAAATAGAAGAGGAGACCCGCATACCCCAGCCTGTACCTGCTGCACACCCGAGACTGTCCCCGCAGCCCGAGTCCGGCATCAAGCGGCTGTAAGTGACACGCTTCTGACTCTAAACATGCCGGGGGAGGGGGCTTCCTGCGACCTCCGACTTTAGCCCCTGGCCCCCGACTCCGGGTTCATCTCTTACTGGATGCTGAGCTCCTCCTGGGGTCTCTGGACGGAGAGGTTTGGGAGTGCTGGGGGGACCTGTAGCTGGTGCTCCAGAGCTTGCTTGCTGTGTCACACGGGGGTGGGAGGTGGCTTCTAAGGACAAGGAATAAGACTGGGCGTGGAGCGGGGGCTCAGGCGTCCTAAGGGCTTGAACTCTGCTGTGAGGTGTCTGCCTTGACCCAGCCGCCCCCAGTATGCCCTCCCGTGGTGACGCACCCCTCCACCCTCTGTCCACTGGTCCCCAGCACATGCGCAGCCGGGCGCTGGCTGCCCGGGAGACACACACAGACAGCACCCAGGCCCTGCCCGCAGATTTTAAGCCACTGCCGTGCTGCCTGACAGCATCAGATCCCTCTGGGATTCTCACGAACTTTGACAGCTCTTGTCCTTGGGGGAAAAAATAGAGACGTAAAATTTTGTGTGCAGTTTCAGGAGGTTCCTGGACTCGCAAAGGCTGTGGATAAAGGGCTGACACCTCGGGTCGGGTTAGAGAGCTGAAAACCTATGCCAGGTGCTGTCCTGCAGGTCATCTCGCTCAGTCCTCACCGTGGGGCTGGAAGGGGAGGCACCGCTGTTCCTGAACAGTAAAGGAAATGGGGGCACGTTACTATGGCCCCTGCTGGTCTCCCCTGAGAGGCCCTCTGGCCCCAGGCCTCCAGCTGTGCCCTGGGCTGACTGCAGAAGGGCCGCTGGTCCTCCACTGTGAGCCCAGCAGAGCTTCTGAGAGCACGTGAGGAGCACGTGGGGGTGGCCCAGATGCCTGCCCTCTCAGAACCCCGTTGGACACACCCTGGCTCGTTCCCAGCCTCTCAGGAGGCTGGCTTGTCCCGCGCGGCACACGGCGGACATGGAAGAGCCGGACCCTCCTCCTGGAACGTGATGCCCCGTTCAAATTCGGGCCTGTGCTGAGGGAAGGGGTCACCGTCTCCTGGAGAGTTGGGCGAGCCCGCAGCTCCCATCCAAGCTTCTTGCCTACTGCAGATTGCTTATTAGCCTCGCCCTGGGTCCCTGCTGGAGCTGGGAGATGGGAAAATCCCCAGTAAATATTTCCTAAGGATGCAGCACGGACCCAAAAGAGCTTGCTTTGATTCCAGCACTATTTTGACCATGGATTAGTTAGTGACCTTCCCTGGAATCAAAACTCAAGGAGCTGAAGAAAAAGAACTTAGCTCAGTAACCAGAAGTCTGCAGGTTGTTCCAGCTTCAGGCTCACTGGACCCAGGCCTCACTTCCTCTGCCCTTGAGGCTGTGCCCTGGCTGTGGACTTGATTCTCAGTGTGTTCCTGGGATTCAGGGCGGCAGTATGGTGGCTGTTAGCACTCTCTGAAACTCTAGTTCAGATTCTGTTCCCAGGAGGCCTAGAGAAACCACAAAGTCAAGTCTCATTGGCTCTCAGTAGGTCACATGACCATCCCTAAACCAATCATAGGGCAGCACATTGGCAGGTCTGTTTCCCCATCTCCTCCCTGAAGTTTAGGATGTCGAATTTAACTCCAGAAGCTGGGCCTGGTGGCACAGGCCTATAATCGCAGCACTCAGGAAGCTGAGGCAGGAGGATCGTTGTGAGTTTGAGACCAGCCTGGGCTACAAAGTGAGCTCAAGGCCAGCCTGAACTGCATAGGGAGATTCCTGGGGAAGGCTCACCCTGTCTCAAAAAAAAGACCAAATAATCATAATCACAATCATAATCATTTAACTCCATTCATTAGGGAGGTGTAGGGCAGAGGTGAGAACCGGTCCCTGTGCAGGGGTGAGCTTATCCAGGCTCTAACATACAAGCTGACCCCCTCACGTGTAAGGATGAACGGACTGGATCTCGTGTGCTCCCTCAGCTACAGCTTTGAGGTTTACCCCTTCGAAAGTTGTGGGTGACCCCAGACACAGAGCATCTGTGTGTCTCTGTGTCTTCTCCAGCTACTCATCCTGGGTCTTTACCAGCCAGACCTTTGCAGCGCCTGCCTGGGACGGGTCCCCAGTTCACAGAGCCTGCTGTGTCCATGCTGGAGTGTGCATTCTAAGGGTTCCTTCTGGCTTTTTAATTTTCCCCTTTTCCTAAGAAGGTAGTTAAGTATGGGCTTATGCCAGTCTCAAATTGGACGAAATCCAGAATAAAGTTACCGAAATTAGCCAAGAAATCTTCCCACTAGTTCTGCCCACACCTGTGAGCTGAGTGCTGCCCGTCTTCCCCCGGCGGTTCCTTTAACAGCCCTCTTCTCCTCCATAGTTGCTCGGCAAGAATTGGAGCTGCGTAGCCGGGCGTGGTGGCGCACTCCTGTCATCCCAGCCCTTGGGAGGCTGAGGCGGGGGTCACCTTGCAAGGTTGAGGCCAGCCTGGGCTACACAGTGAGATCCTGTCTCAAAAAAAAAATAGGGTGCTCTGAGCTTGGCAGGGGAAGGAGCTGCAGTTGAGGAGCCAGAAGAGGTGGACAGAAGACAGCACCAAGGAGAAAGAGACAGTGCAAGACAGCCTCCTGTCCACGGGGCGCAGGTGGCCTGTCCTGCGTGGCCCTGCCTCCTGCGGGAGAGCAGGGGGAGCCAACAGCCACAAAAGGCTTTTGACCAGCACCGCGGGACACTGGTCCCCTTTGTCCTCCTCAGCAGCTGACTGGGGGCTGTGGCTGGGAGCTGAGAGCCAGGAGGAGCCGGGGCGATGCTCGTTCCCTGGGCCAGTTCCGAGGGGGACCCCGGGCCTCTGCACCTCCCCTCCTGGTACCGCGAGGCCGTTCTGCTCTCTGTGTCTTTGCCCTGCGGGGTGTTGGTCACACAGCCTGCTCGGTGCCGGGGCTCCCTGCCCCGCTGCAGCCCACCCTGTGCCCTCACCCGGCATCCCCTGACAGTGCAGCCAGAGCCACCAGGGAGGTGTGAAGGGCCTTCGCCAGCTCCGAGCATTGAACCGAGGTGTCTTCCAGCCGGAGACGCACGGCGGGCGCACGCATCTCCTTCTCAGATGAGGAAACTGAGGCCCATTTGCGTTTTGTTCTTTTGTGTTTTGAGACAGGATCTCACTGTGTAGCCCAGGCTGGCCTAGAACTCAGAGCAATCTTCCTGCTTCAGCCTGAGTGCTGGGGCTACAGGTGTGCGCCCCCACAGCTGGCTCACGTAGATCGCACCCTGGGGAAGGCTCTGGCGGGCTCTTCCGCTGGGCTTTTTGTCTGCACTGCTCCTGTCCGCGCCTCCCTTTTCTCACCATTTCCCAAGTCCCCAGTCACAGGCCGACTGCCCAGGCCCCTTATCTCTCGAATGCCCAAGTCAGAGACATCAGACATCGGGTATTTCTGGGCTGAACACAACAGGAAACCAGAGACTCCTGCTGCCAGTCAAAACAGCGGCCTGAAGGTGGGCCAGGAATAGCTTGTGACCCAGCCGCCACCGGCCGGCCAGGGAGCACGCGCTGGCACTGCCCGGGGAGGTCACGCGGGCGTTTGGGGGCTGCAGCCTCGTCCTCGCCCTTGAACAGCAGGCGCCAGCGCCCCCTGGTGTGGCCCCTGCCTCTGGGCCATGGGCCCGTTCACACGGTGGCTTCCGCCGGACCAGGCAAGCAGGCGGGGGACAGGCGGTGGGACGAGGGGACAGCGGCTGGGGCAAGGAGAGCAGGGGGGCTTGGGCTCAGAAAGGCCTTCCTCCCCGGAAAGGCCGGCTCGGAGTGGGCGGCCGTCCCGGTCTGCAGCCGTAGCAGCAACAGTGCGTTCTGTCCCTGTGCTCCCACCCACCACCCCTCCTCGCTTCTGCCGGAAATAGCTTTTTCCAGCAGCCTGTCTCACCGCCGGGAATGCCACCCCGTGGACTGGGTTTGAGTCTTCCAGAAATATTCAGTGCAGGGGGGAGGACCTGAAACAGCTGCCCTGCCTCAGAACCTAAACTCGGCCAGACCATCGTCACGAGGACGGCCGTTCCTGTAGGGACGGTGGCTTCTGCCTGGTGGCACCTGGCTCTGTAGGCCCCAGAGGCCCCGCCCCTTGCTGGGCCCTGCATGGCATCCAGCGTTTCCAGGCGGGCCGATGCCTCTCCCACCTGTGACTGGGGCACTTGCTATGTAGTGACTGTGTCTTCGGGGGTGCCCTGTTTGGGGTCCTGGCAAAGGTGGGTGCACAGTAGCGTGGGTTGGAACCCCTGGAGAGCTGCCCGTGCTGAGAAGCCCAGCCCCTGGGGATTAGGCCCGTTCCTTTAGCTAAAGGTCCCCTGTCCCTGCCGTCACGGCCCCGGCGGTTTGTGGCTCCCAGCTCCCGTGTGAGGAGTGTCAGATGCTGTCCCAACGCACAGAACCTCCACGTGGACAGCATTACTTTGTATCTTTTGCCAGTCCTTTTACAAAACAATCATAACTGCTGGACAGCTGGCTGTGGTGGCACACGAGGGTAATCCCAGCACGTGGGAGGCTGAGGCAGGAGCATTGCCAAAAGTTCGAGGCCAGCCTGGATTACATACCAAGATCCTGTCTCAAAAAAACAAAACTAAACTAAAAAAAAAATCATAATTTTCAAAATAAGCTCTGGCGGCCTGGCTGGAGTTTCATCTTCATTGCTGCTGCTTCTGGCAGCCGTGACCCATTGGGAGGGGCAGGGCGGCGCCTGCCAAGGTGACGCAGCTTCTGTTTTGGCCTGTGCCCACTCCTGCCTGTCACCTGCCCGCTGTGCGTGCACAGCGTGCGCGGCCCAGGGCACGGCTGGGGCTGAGGACGGGGATCCCACAAACCCCAGCGCACACCCAGCTCCCCCCGCAGACCTGGTCTGCGCGTCCAGTGCTGAGGGCCGCTGGGTTCCCTCAGTGCCGTCACACAGCCTATGTGTCCGTGGGCCGTGGTCACAAAGCGCCACAGAGGACAGGACTTAAGCGGTCATAATGAATGGTCCCGCTGTCCTGCAGGCCAGAGGTCAAGGTCAGCAGGGTCAGTCCCATGAGGGAGACTCCTCGGAGGCCTCTCTTCTTGCTGATGACCTTTGTCCTGTGGAAGCATCACCACTGTCTGCCTCGGCACCACGTGGCATGTGGCAGGCCCTGCGGCGCGTGTCGCTGTTCATGTTCCCCCTTTTCCTGTTGGGCTGGAGCTGCCCTCTCCTCACTGGGGCCATCTGGAAGGGCCCCATGTCTCTAGGTGACGTCCTGAGCTGCCGGGGGTTGGGGCTTCAGCTGGATTTGGGGGAGGGGACACGGTTGGACCTGTGACAAGGACCAGTAGCGGACCCTCGGCCGGACCGTCCGAGGAGTGGGCGTCTGTCCTGTCTCCTTTTTTATCTTCTCTGTGTCTGTCTGTACTTCTCTAACTAGGATCTTTACAGCCATAATGCCCATGGTGGCAGCGGGACTGCTGCTCGATGACCCCACGCTGCAGCCTGTGAGACGACTCGTTTCCCTTGTAGGCACCGTGTGCGTGTGGGCCCGTGTGCACGGTGCCTGTGCAGTGTCGCTGCGGCCCCCGCTGGGCCGGCCTGGCTCCTTTGGCCTCTCGAAGCTGCATGGCTGTCCCCTGTGTGCTGGCATCACGTGGGCGTCGGGTACACTGCGCCCCCGGCACGGTTGAGGTTCTGGGCTCTGTCACCGATAATTCTTTTTGTCTCTTCTGTTTCCGTTCTAAACGCCACCTTGCCCACGATCCGGTAAAGAAGGTCCTTTAAGCGACGGGTCAGTAGTCAGCGCCCACCGCCCGCCCCGAGTGACACTAACCCTGTGGATCTTCCCGCCAGAGCTTCCTAAACTGCTTTGTCTTGCCGAGCCTGGCCTTGCCGCCGTGCGGTCTGATGGCTGCGGAGGGAAAGCGGGGGGAGCGGGGGCGGGTATGAGGGGCAGCGTAACCCAGGAGCTGCTGTTTTTCTGGCTGGCTGACGGCCCCGCCTGCCCTGTGGAAAGAGCTCCCACGTAACCCAGGAGGGACGTCCTGCTCGGGCCGCTACAGCTGTGTCTGCCGTGGAGGACAGAGCCTTCGCGCTAGCGATCCACTCAGTTCACCCCAGAGCTTTGTGGTGAAAGAGCCCTGTCTTCTGGGAGAGCGATCATAGGGTCCAGTAAGCACGGAGGAGTGAAAGTATTTTCACCCAGATGTGTTTAAAACACCTCCAAGGGCCACTGCACTAAAAGACGGACAGGTGAAGGGAGGGAACCCAAAATAGTTCATGTAAAGATCGGGCATCTCAGTGGCTCCCCAGGAAACACAAAAGAGCCGTTCTCTCAGCTCTCTTACCAAGTTCAGAAAGCGAAGTTGAAGAGTAAGAGCTTGGTGAGAGCGGAAGGAGCCTTAGCAGAGCCTGGTCATATCGAAGGAGATTTGGCAGCTTAGAGAGAGCTCCCAGGAGGCGCTCGCAGTTGGCGAACTCAAGTGCACGGTCTGGAAGCCAGCCTTGGTTTGAATGGGCTTCTTTGTAAACTTTGTTCTCGTGACTTCGGTCTTTATCTCTGAAGCATCTGACAGTTCGCTCTGATCAATGTGCAGAAGTCATAGCAGTTTAAAAATACATGCAGGAGGCAGGCGTGGTGGCACATGCCTGTAATCCCAGCACTCAGGAGGCTGAGGCAGGAGGATTGTTGCGAATTCGAGACCAGCCTGGGCTACATAAGTGAGCTCAAGGCCAGCCTGAGCTGCATATTGAGACCCTGTCTCAAAAAGACAATAAATAAATAAATAAATAAATAAATAAACAAACAAACAAACAAACACTTGTAGGAGCCAGGCTTGGTGGTGCTTGCCTGTGAGCTCAGCACTCAGGAGGCTGAGGCAGGAGAATCACTGAGAGTTCAAGGCCACTCTAAACTACTTAGTGAGACTACTCCTCAAAATAAACAAATAAATAGACTTCCTAGGCCTGGTGATATGGTGATATAGCTCAGTGGTAGAGTATTTGCCTAGCATGTACTCAGGCCAGGTTCTGTCTCTAGCACCACGAAAGGAAAAAAACACCAGACACTTTTGGTCTATATTAGCTTTTACTGTGTAACTGGTACAACAATAAACTCTAAGTTTGGAAAGCCCAATGTGAATATTTGCACATTTCATTCACCCACCTTATCGAGCAAGTTCTTTTTTTTTTTTTTTGCGGTACCAGAACTCACGACCTTGCGCTTGCCAGGCAGGTGCTTATGCCACTGAGCTATTTCCCCAGCCCCTTGAGCAAGTTCTTAATATAATTTAATTATATGTTTCGTCTTGCTACCTACCGTAGCATCATCCTAGGCAATAATAACCCAGGCCACGTGGCCTGTGACACGCTGCTTGCGTAGTTTCCCGATTGACGTCCATAAACATGGAGCTGTTGACATTAGAGATATTCTTGGCCTTACGTCCCACGCTGCTTTCAGGGGTTCCTCTCCCAGCATTAGGGAGTTAAAGAGAGTTCTGGGCAGTGGCTTCGTGGCAGGGCACTTGCATAGTGAGGGCTCCACCCCAGTACCCCAAAATAAAAGAAACTATGACCTGTTTGGGGGCTCCTTGTCCCCACGGGTCCCCGGCAGGACCCTCAGGAGCGGCCAAGGCAGAGGAGCCCTCGTGTGGCATGCACGCACGGCCTGCTCATGCGGTGACCTCAGGGCTCCGAGGCTGATGACTGGGAAGTCCCTGGCCCTTTCCGGTCACCTCTCCCGCTCTGTGACGTGTTCTTTCGCACCTGAGCGGCCCTGCCCCTCCCGTGTGACTGCCTTGTCCCTGGCACTGCAAACGAGCCAAGGCCCAGCACAGGCTCGGCGCTCATTTCTGTCTCTTCCTTCCCCTTCTCAAAGGTTTAGCTTCTTCTCCCGCGATAAGAAGCGGCTGGCCAACATGCAGAGGAACGTGCACATCCACGAGTCCTTCGGCCAGTGGGTAAACACCCACCGTGACGACGGGTACACGGAGCAGGGACAGGAGGCCCTGCAGCACCTGTGACCTCGGCCCTCACCGCCGCCACCCGCGGAGCGCACCCAGGGCCGCTGCCTGGCACCCTCGAAGCTGACCCCTAGGGGACGCTCTGCTTCGCGGATGGACCTGAGAAACTGATGCCAAACTCTAAGGAAATGTTTATTTATACCCAGGGCTGTCACTGTTTCTAATAGAGGACTCTACCCTTAGGATATATATTTAATAATCCCACCGACTGAGGCCAGATTTTCCCGCTAATTTTAGTAACAAGCTTCTTCAAGCCAAATACATCACTTATCACTGTAATTGCCATTTGATTGACTTGGGATCAACCTCTAGGTGTAAAGGTTTTTATTATCACCTTGTCACTACTTCCGTGACAGAGGAAAAAGTAGCTTTTTAATTGTCACAAAATCATGCTGATATGGTGGGCACCGTGGCGCATACCTGTGATCTCAGCATTCCAGAGGCTGAGGCAGGAGGATCGTGTGAGTTTGAGGCCAACCTGGGCTACACAGTGAGTTCAAGGCCAGCCCAAACTCCATAGCGAGACCTTGTCTCAAAAAGAAGCATTGTGGTGACAGCAGATCGGAGAGGATATATCGATGGGACGGCAGGGCCTCTGAAGTCAAAGACGAGCCGCCCCCACTGAAACACGAAGCACAGGACATAAAATGACAACCCTCCACCAGACTGGGGACGCCTCTGAGAGCAGCAGCCGTTCCCGATCACCCTGGAGTGCGCGGCCGCGTGGAGGGCAGTGTGCCTTGGGATCTGCAGTGAGTTTTGCAGTACTAACCAAACAGAGTTGCAAGGATAAGTGTTTCTGGTGTGCGTTCTTTGTGCGAGCATCTTTTTTCCCATGTAAAGTGCTGCTTCTGCAAAGAAGACAAATGTCCAAGCAGATTGGGAGGAGGGCGTGGGAGCCTCCGTGATGCGGGGGCACAGCGGGGAAGGGTGCTGGGTGACAGATGGCGTGGACTGCACAGCTTGGTGACTCAGCCAGCTGCCCGCTCTGCAGCTGGGGTGCTGGGGACCTCTCCTGGACTTCTGCGCCACCCCCAGCGGCAGGGCACAGGGCTGGATGTCCCTGGCTACAGAGTGGTGGCACTTGCCAGGACCACTCAGGGACATCTTGATCAGTGGGTCCTGCTGGCTGAGAAGCCACGGGGGGTGGTTTGCAGGCCCCGTAGTGAGACTGTGTCCACTGGCCTGGGAAGGGGTGCTGGACTCCGCGTCGGGGTTATTGGAATTTACTCGTATACGGGGAAGTCTAGTCTGAGTATGGGAGTCGCAGCACGAGGTGGTCCACACCTGTCATCGCAGCTCCTCAGCCACTCAGGATCACCAGTTAGAGGCCAGCCTGGGCAATTCAGCAACTTGTATTCAAGGAATCATAACTCTCAAAGCCACAGCCATTGGTAAAAATGCTGTCACTTTTTTGAAAAATTAAACGAGCAGTACAGTATTTAACTCAACGTTCCCAGAAGTTAAGGCCAAGAGATCCAGCCTTCGAGCAGACCAGAGCCCCGGTCGGCAGGGCAGAGAAACTCGGCTTTCAGCCCAGCGGAAGCTCCCCCAGCTCTCGCCCCCACCTGTCCTCCGCCCTTTGTCTCGTTCAGCTCCGCTTTTGCTGAGCTGGATCTTCCCAGAGGCCTGGAGGTCCGCCCCCACCACAGCCCCAGGATACGCGGAGATAAAGCACAGGACAGTCAGCATTTCCCAGGGCAGAGCGAGGCTGGGTGCGGTAGCTGGTAGCTGACCCGCAGGTCCACGCTGGCTTCCAGCTCGGGCTCTGGGCAGTCTGCTAGGATTTTCTCTGTATCCATTTTTACTGCCGCTCAGCTCTGGGGCTGCGGGTGTGGAAATGGGCAAGGTAAAGTTCACTCTGACCACATGAGGGCCCAGGAGTCACGGATCAGTGGGGCTGGGGGCACTGTCCCCTCCTTTGGCCACACACCCAAAATCACCTCAAGTGGGCGGGGGGAGCACGACACATTCTCTACTGCTGAATGAAGCCTATACACATGCCGGAACCACAAAACCACTGCTGACCCTGTTACTAACATGGCCCGGCGGGGATGTAGCTCAGTGGTAGACGCTGGCCTAGCGTGTCTGAGGCCTTGGGTTCTGCCCGGCACTGCAAAAACCACCTCCTAAAAACACAGTCTTAGAACCAGCAATGATGATTCAGTCTGGGTTTGGTGACACACACCTATAATCCCAGCTCCTCAAGAGGCTGAGGCAGGAGGATCACAAGATCCAGGCCAGCCTAGACAATTTAGCAAGACTCTCTTCAAAATAAAAAAGGACCGGGCAGGTAGCTCTGTAGTAGAGCACTCCTGGGTTCAATCTCCAGTACTGAAAAGGACCAGGCTGGGCCTGGATTTTGGTGGCACACGCCTGTAATCCCAGCACTGGGGAGGCTGAGGCAGGAAGCTGCAGTGAGTTTGAGGCCTACGTTGTGAATTCAAGGCCAGCCTGAACTATATTTTTGAGATCCTGTCTCAAAAAACCAAACCAAAACAAAAAGATGATAAATTTGTGATACCAGTTTGACTCTTGGTTCCAGATTGGAAGGGGTTGGGGATGTAGCTCAGTGTCACAGGTGCCTGCCTGGCAAGTACAAGGTCCTGAGTTCGATTCCCAGCACCAAACAAAACAAAACAAAACAAAATAAGATTGAGGGGCTGGGGACATAGCTCAGTGGCATAAGCGCCTGCCTGGCAAACGCAAGGTCGTGAGTTCGATCCCTGGTACCACCAAAAAAAAAAAAAAAACGGCAAACATCCTTCTCAGTCAAAAAAAAAAAAAGATTGGAAGGAAAACTCCCAAATCCCATTATCAGCAAGTTTTATTGAACCGCTAGACGCGAGCCATGCCCCATCACCCCCGCAGTGCACCTTCCTCGGGGCCTACCCCTGCCCCTACTTGCTCCTGTCCCTCTTCTCCCGCCCCTTGGGCCTGTCATCCCGGAGGTCCCGCTCTCTGTCCCAGTCACTGTCAGGCCACATCCTGGCCTGCTCCCTCTCCTGCCATCTCTTCTCCCGCCCCCGGTCGTGGTCCCGATCGCGGGCCCTGAAGTCCCAGTGTCTCTCCCGGGAACGCGACCGCTCCCTCCTTTCCCTTCTGCCCTCCCTGTAGAGCTCACTCTTCACCACCGGCAGGTTGATCGGCTTGCGGAAGGGCCGGTCCCGCCCCCCAAACCTCAGCTGCCCCGACTCCTTCTTGCCGCCCAGCCCGCCGCCCAGCCGCCGCGGGATCCAGCCGCGCAGCGTGCGCTCCAGCTCGTAGTCCACGAAGACCTCGTGCTGGTCGATGAGCAGCCCGTCGGCGTCGCGGTGGGCCTTGAGCAGCGCGCGCTCCTCCTTGTACTCGATGAAGGCGTAGCCCTTGGAGAAGCCGGTCACCAGGTCCCTCACCAGCCGCAGCCGCCGGATGTCCCCGTAGCGGGAGAAGACTTCCCTCAGTTTGTCCTCTTTGGTCTGCAGGTTTAGTCTGGCCACGAACAGGGTGAGGAGGGGGTCCCCGGTGACGCCCCTGTTGGGCACGTAGCGGGCCAGCATGGCCCTCCAGACCGCGCGGTCGTGGGGGTCCTCATCGGTGCCGTCGATGCTGCCGGCCTTGAGCGGGTCGTACTCCTTGGCGATGGGCATCCAGTCGTTCATGATCTAGGAGGGACACAGGAAGGTGTGTGGCGCTGTTCCGAGTCCCACCCACCCCCCGCTGTCACCATGCTGGGGAGTCACGTGGCCGCTGGCTGCTGAGAAGGGGCGGTGGCATCCGTGTGTGGCCTGCAGCCAGGGGTCCAGCCCGAGACTCCCTGGCCCCTCTCCGCGCCCTCACCAGCGTGGCCACCACGGGACGGGGGCCAACTGCACTGCCCCAGCCGCTAGGATCGAAAGCCAGCCAGACCGTCCAGCGGCCCAGGAGGCTGAGGGGTTGTGTGAGCTATGCGCAAGGCACAAGGTTCAAGCCCCAGCCCTGCAGGTACAGAAAGCAAAGACCTCACTACCAAAACCTCAGACACCCGCCAACATGGAGAACGGGCCAGACCCGCCCCCTGGACCCCTCACCTGGCTCTAACTAGGACCAGCACTCATGTGGCCACAATAAGTACCAGATTACGCTGAAACAAATTAGCACAGCACTTAGCAGTGGATTTTTCAGTATGTATCACCAAAAGATAAAGTTTTCTTTTTGTTGTTGTTATTGTTTTTTTTTTGTTTTTTTTTTTTGGTCTTTTTGAGACAGGGTCTCTCTATGCAGTTCAGGCCAGCCTTGAGCTCACTATGTAGCCCAGGGTGGTCTCAAACTTGCAACAATCCTCCTGCCTCAGCCTCCC